GACCGCAACTGATCGGGACGAGAGCGGCGGCAAATAAAGGTCGATAATTATTCTTATCATTTAACCAACGCAAGCCGCAATACACTATATTTTCGGCAACATATCGCGCGATATCAAACTCGCGAGGTAGTCGTCGAGATTCGATTCACGAACAATATAAGTCGCGAAAGGTGCGGACGAGAACCAACCACACTTACGTTTGCCGGCGGCTCTTCACAAATTGATAATCATTCTGCTCTCCCTTTTGAGATTGTCTTAGCAAGTCCTCCTTGAATGTTGTCCGGCACACAGTCTTACACTCCGGCATCACGACATACGTGAGAGACGATGAACTCGCGTGGTTGACGGTACGCGCAACAATGAAGATTTGTATCCTTCGGCAATTGCTTTCCAGAGCTGTTCTTTCTGCTACGTAACTGATCGTATTCTTCCTTTCGTGGCGCTGCAATTGACAGCGGCCACGTTTTCCTCGGCATAATACCGACTCGGGCCTTTTCCTCGGCCGTATCAGGCCCGTTCCACCTTCATCATTCAATGAAATGAGCTTGTTGAGGCTCATTTCCCAGCATCATCGAGCTTGCCACTCCGCTGAAAGCTCCGATTCCGATTTTCTGGAGATCGGAGTGCGCTTCTTCTACTTTTGGGGTCCGACGTCAAAATTTTCTGCCGAATATCCTAGGCCGGTAAAGCCCCTGGGCCTCGCGTTATCTTCTTTCTTCTCGCTCTTTTCTACCTGCCGGTCACGTACAGTGTGTTGCTCTCTTCACGCTGAAAATAACTTACAAAATAGCCGCCAAGCGGCATATCACAATACGCAAAAATATCGCAAACCTAAAGTAAGCGCAGTCGCCTGCGCTACGCAACCTAATCTAACGAGCTGCTCTCCCCCAAATAGTGGGGAAACGCGAACTCACCGCCTCCTGTGCCGGCCGGAAATACATCCTTGTGACGGACACGAAAAAGTGTCACGTCACAATATATATATATATTGTGACAGACACTTCGCTCTCGGATGTTATAAGGAAGGTGCCGCATACCTTCGGTACGTCTTTTCTAGTTTAGTCCAAAAATTTTACTCACCAACTAATGTAGTTGGGCGCCAGGCGTGCATTCACACGCCGAATTCTATAATCTTGACTCTAAACACTTTACTTTTCTAAACAATGTCGACGTGACGGCAAAAACACTCAGCAGCTCAGATTGGTAAGTGATAACGAAGAGGCGTGAGCTCAGGAGGCGGTAGTTTTAAAATAGAGGCAGAGAAACTTGTTTGTTAAATCATAATTAGTATGAATTTTAATAATAACAATCTATATTGGGTTCTGGTCAAACGCTAGCCAGAAATGATATCGACAGTACAATACAGAAGAAATACACGATAAACGATCACATTCGGGGCGCGAATATAACCGGCAACTGAGTTGTAAGTAAGTTTTTTTATAATAATGAGTCGCGACCGTGTGTCATTCTTATTAGTTTCACGTGCGAAGATGACTGCGAGAGGAAATCTATACTCCGGAATGCGCTAACGCGGACGTGCGGTGATATGGACAATGACGGTGGACAATAGGAGTGCGGTCGCGGCAAAAAAATTGACCGGGCGCGCGCGTGCGATAGTACGGCGCGCCGGATATAGTCCAGTCAATAGGAAAAAAATGATGCAAAAATGTTTAACCGAATTCCGATTACACATTACCTTGTAGTGTGCGCTTCACTGATGAATCCTTATTGTCGTGCAACCAAAATTTTTTGTCAGAACTTGTTATAAATGATGATTAAAAGTGCTGAAAATGGGTTTTTTGCTTTTATCAAAGAAGAACTGCTAGTTAGGAAAAAAAGTTCTAAATAAAAGTTGTAGGTATTAAAAATATTTTTCGTTTAAGCTATCAATCGAATGAATCGAGCAAATATTTATCAAGATAATTGCAAAAAACACCCAAAAATGAGTGTTTTTTCACTTGTTAATAATCTTTGTAATAATTAGCACAGAGCTTCAAAATTTATCAACAATATGGCCTTTGCTACCCTTAAAACGTATGCAAAATTTCAGACCGAAATATCATATAGTTTGTGAATAAATGCATTTGTTTAGCCCAAACATTCTATTTTTGCACTTAATTATGTCGCTTTTTCACAATGATACAGCAACCAGCGTGATCTAGTTTTGTTCTGAAAGAGTTGTACTATTACATACAAGTGATATTTAACCAAAATTGTTATTAAAAAACATCCAAAAATGGCGTTGAAAATGATGGTCGTTTTTCGCTTATAAACAAATGAAGTAACTTTGACGCTAATAACTATATCGTTTTACTGATTTGTGTGTGTGATATTTCGATAGTTGATATTTTTACGCGTATTTAAAAAAAAATCGTTATCCTACGTTACGTACAAGCCGATATAATTTTGTTTTTTTGAAAATTCGCAGCTCCTTTCATTATTAATATTAAGATCTGAAACTGTGGGGATATGGAGTAGAAGAGTTACACTTTCATCAAGAAAAGTTTCGAAGAAATTCAGTATAGTATAGCATTATTTACAGAGTGTTAAAGAAAGGTTTCGTATGTCAAGTACATNAAGACCGGTGGTGGGGGTAAGCGGGCCGCAGCCGCTGCGCTCGGCGGCGACTCGCGCGCGTAGCGTCATTTTCACTTCAAATTCATAAAAATGGCATTATCTCGGTTAATATTGATTGTATTGAGACGTTTTTGTTTTTAATTTGGGATAGCTCGACGAGCTCTTTACGATTCTGTCCTCAGAAAACCTATTAACGTTAATCTATCTGCTCAAATCTTGGCAATCTTTTTTATATATCGTTTATTAATAATTTCTGATGATTTATTTATGCAGTACTGTACACATGCATTATTGTTAGAACAATTTCTTGATGTTACTGCAAAATAATANTACTACTTCCATTTTATCAATGCATACAGTTTGCAAAAACCAATGGTAGTAGGAAAAATGCATTATATGTATTTAGTTATGATGATTATGAATATTAAAAGTATTATTACAGTAGTAATTAAGAGGTGTAAGTAAAAAGGGAATGTTTTATAGAAGTATATATTTTTTTTATTAGTTTCAATATCATGTTCTCTGTTTTTTTGTAGGTACATTTTCATCGTCAGTAATAATATAATCGGGAACAATCTCATCAGACATATTCTCATCATCACAAATATTAAGTAAAAACATATTTTCTGGAACATCGTCATTTTCTTTTTTGTTTACAAAATCTTCTTCTACAACAGCATCATTGATATTATCGCATGATTCCCCGTAACATTTGGCACATAATCGCGTACATTTTAAACCATGTTTTTTACAACCATATGATGATGCTGTTGTAGAAGATTTTTTAAACGAAAAAGAAAATGACGATGTTCCAGAAAATCCGTTCCAGAAAATCCGTCGTCGAAATCATCGCCGAGCGTCTCGTGCCTATAATGTCCTTACGCCCCTGTCGGGCGTATATGGCTGTCTGTCTCTATCTTCGCTCCTCTTCGATCTCTTTCTTCTGACGACGACGTATAGTGAGCTGCACTCTCTCTCTCTCTCTCTCTCTCTCTCTCTCTCTCTCTCTCTCTCGGTGAGTACATACATAGATGTGTATTGTGTCGCTCTGTCATTTAGAGCTGTCTTCTGCCGTTTATTGCCCTTCGGGGCTGTTTTCTTGCAGTTGAGATCTTTGCCTTGCTTTTTCTGGCTTAACATATTGTATCACCTAAGAAGAGTATCGTCTGGTTTGCGCTGAGTGCCTGCCTGTTTTTTTGCCTACTGGTTTTTGTGACTTCTACCGTTATCGGATTCTGGTTGCGCATGTGTGAGAGTTGAGCGTGCATCGCGCTTATTGGCGGATTTCGTGGAAACGGCTCAACCGATTCTCAGAGGCTCTGATGTCTAGGAAGGATTCTCCCTTACCGATGTCGGCGGGAAGAGGCGACGGGGAAAGTGCGAGCCCGCGTGTGCTTTCTCGTGTGTCGAGTGCTAGCAGCATTGCAGACAAACTCACTGCTACTGCTTATATGTCTGTATCCAAAATTAATGCACTTAAGGCGTCTATTAATAGACATAATGATAGCATTTCAGGGCTGTTGTTGTCTAGTAAAGAGTCTGTGGATAGACGCAAAATCATTGAGTCCGCTTTTAGGGCTTGCAAGGAGGCGTTCTTGGAAGTTGCTAATGCATTGACTTTCTCGCTGGAAGATCGAACTACGCCTGTTGACGACATTAAAANAATAATTACTGAGGCTTTGAATCAAAATGGGGGGATGTTTCATACACACATGAGCAGTGACTTACTGGATTCACGTGAGCGGAGGAGCAATCGTGACTCTTATGCGTCAGTGGTAAGTTCTGGCAATGGCAGGGTTCGTGTTTCGAGGGGCCCGACTGTTGCTGTGCCTGAGACCACTTCTTTCTTGGTAGTGCCACAAGATGAGAACTCCGACAAATATACATTGTCGCAGAAAACCAAAGACGTGCTACGACAGGTTTTAAAACCATCTGAATGCGAACTGAAAGTCAACAGAGTGTCCTTTGCCCAGAAGAATGGAGTCAGAGTTGAAGCTTTCGCACCAAATATGCAGAAAATTAAAGCGCATCCTGGACTTGCTCGGGCGGGCTTGAAGGTGGTTGAAAATATGAAGTCCAATCCTCGGCTTATCATTTATAATGTTCCAGAAGAAATGACATCGGATGATATACGTGAGGAATTAATTGCACAAAATTTAATCGGTGTTAAAGAGGCTTACATCAAGATCATATACATATATCCAATCAAGCCCGGAAAGCGATCTAGAAATTGTGTAGTGGAAGTGTCACCTTCGGTACGCAATGCGCTTTTTAAAGGAGATCGTATTTTTTTGAGATACTCTGCCTGCAGATTTGCAGACCATGTCAGAATTCTTCAATGCTATAATTGTCTGAATTTTGGTCATTTGGCCAAATTTTGTAAAAAAAGCTCCGTGTGTGGGCATTGCGGAGGAGGACACCAGATGAGGGACTGCAGTAACTTGGAGGAGGCTCCTAGGTGCGGTAACTGTTCGGCTAGTGAGACTTTTTCTGCGGGAGATTTGAACCATGTGGCCACTGATACTAAAAAATGTCCTATTCTCTGCCGGAAAATTAAAGACAAAATTTCTAACATTGATTATGGCCAGTAGAGATACTAATGAGGATTTTTTGATTTGTCACGTAAACTGCCAATCACTTTTTGCCCACTTCGATGAGTTTAAGCTGTTCTTCAACTGCTCTCAATATCACATTATTTGTCTCTCAGAAACTTGGCTGAAGCCTAATTTTTCTGATAGTATGGTTAGCTTATGGGACTATACACTTCACAGGCATGATAGGGTTGGAAGAGGTGGAGGTGGAGTCGCCTTTTACATTCACAATTCTTTGAGTGCCACCATCTTAAAAACTTCTGATGCACTATACTGCCGCAAGCCCGAATACATTATCGCTGAAATCGTCCCTTCAGGTTCTGTCAAGTTGTTGCTAGCTGTTGTATATAGACCACCAAATTGCGGCTATCTACAAGACTTTGAAGACACCTTTCTCGATCTTCAAGTCCATTACAGACATTCCATCATCTTTGGCGATTTTAATGCGGATATGCTTGTCAATTCCTATGACAGTAATCAAATAACTACGTTTGTTCGATCTTCTGGACTTTATTTGGTCCCCTATCAAGCAACACACAACTTGCAACATTCTAGCACTTTGCTAGATCTTTGTATTATCGATGATCCCGACAAACTTATTGAGTTCGGACAGCATGATGTGACTTTCTTATCTGCGCACGATTTGATTTTTATAAAATATAAACTGCGTGTTGACAGAGTATGTGACAGAATAACTACCTGCAGAAATTTTAATCTTTTTAATGAAGATGCTTTTTTTCAAGATATTGCAAATATTGACTGGAGTGAGCTAATGTCATCGATGTCTCTTGATGAGAAGGTTAAAATTTTAAATTCTACTCTTCTCGGATGTCTGGATCATCACGCGCCTCTTCAAAGAATATGCTTCAAGAAACTCCCTGCACCTTGGCTTACCTTGGACATCAAAAACGCGATGAAGGAAAGAGACAAAGCGCGCAGGAAATGGCGCAGAAACGCTAGGGAGGACTTATATCATGACTTCAAGAAATTGAGAAATGAAGTTCAAAAAGTGGTTCGCACTGCACGAAGTAACTATTATATGTCCCTCTTTACTAATATTAAAGATCCTGGCTCTATTTGGAGCAATTTAAGACACCTGGGGCTTGTAAAAGCTAAGAATACAATTAAATGTCTTTCTCATTCTATAGACACACTGAATGATTTCTTTGTTAGTGCCGCGGGAGGTTATGATGGTGTGATAAATGCAGAGGACTTAAACTCCTCATCCGCGATTTTCGACGACTCAAAATTTTATTGGGAGCTCGTAACTCCGTCAGAAATTAATAGAGCTTTCTCCAGGATTAAAACAAATGCTATTGGTATAGATGGTATAGCTAGCAAAATTATTAAGCTTGTCTTACCTTGCATCGTGCCTGTGATTGAACACATTTTTAACTTTTCATTGACACACGGTATTTTCCCGGACTGCTGGAAATCCTCAATTATTTGTCCGATACCGAAAGTGAAAAATCCTTCTTTGCCACTACACTACCGGCCTATAGCAATACTTCCTGCAATATCTAAGGCTCTCGAAAGAATTGTCTGTGTGCAGATNCAAAACTATATGGAAGGAAATAATCTTTATGATTCTCACCAGTATGCATACCGAAGAGGACGCTCGACTCAGACTGGAATAATTAAGTTATTAGACGATGCAAGATATGCTGCTGATAAAAGAATGGTCACTATCACTGTTTTCTTTGACCTGTCTAAGGCCTTTGACAGAGTGCAGCATCACATTCTTTTGAAGAAACTTGAGGCTTTAAATTTTTCTAACAACGCGCTGCGCTGGATTCATTCTTATTTATTGGGAAGAACTCAGGTTGTCAAGGATCCCGTCAACTCTGGTCTTTCTCGGCCAATTTCAATGAATGTGGGTGTTCCACAGGGCTCTGTTCTTGGGCCATTATTATTTATATTATATCTACATGACTTTAACACTACTTTAAATTTCTGCAAATACAGCTTCTATGCGGATGATTTGGTCATATACTATCACTGTGATTCACGCGATTTGCTACTGGGTATTGAGAGTTAACTGTGATATTAAAAGCATAGTTTCCTGGGCCTTGCAGAACAAACTTTTGCTGAACTGTGACAAAACCCAGGCTATCATCTTAGGATCTGCTAGATACATCAACGCAATCAGCCGGCAACAACCACCTCTTATAATAGTTGAAAACACACCGGTTCAGTACATGTCTGAGGTCAAATATCTTGGCATTACCATTTCTAGCTCTCTCTCTTGGGAAAAACATGTCACAAACACAGTTAACAAAATTAAAAGAACACTCTATCAACTAAAGTTGTGCAAAAGTCTACTACCGCGAAAACTGAAGGAAAGACTTATCATTACACTGATATACCCTCACTTGGATTACTGCAGTTGCGCCTTTACGGATATAACTGCAGAACAGAACCTACGTCTTCACAAAGCATTCAATGCTTGTGTGAAATTTATTTTCGATGCTCGTAGAGAAGAACACGTTACTTCGTACTACAACGCCTTACAGTGGCTCAATGTCAGTTACCGTAGGAGATACTTCGTGGGTTGCCTTATACACAAGATAATTATTACACAACAACCTAGTCTTATTTTTGAGACCTTACACTTTCGTGAGGCGCCAGTACGTAATATGAGAACAGCAGAGGACACTCTTGTTGCGCCGTTGTGTCGCACGGAAATGTACAAGCGCTCATTTTTGAGCACTGCGATTAGCGTTTGGAACAGCATTCCTTCTAATGTTAGAATGATTACCTCCTTTGGTCTCTTTAGAACTATGTTTCACAGACTCTTGCTGGATGATGCCAGCCACTGATTTGCTTTTTTTTCGCTAGCTTATTTATTATTTTTTGATTCTTTCATTATGTACTCATTTCTTTTTGCTTTCTCTTATTATATTTCCATATAGATGATTTTCTGTGCTATTGGCTACTTGCTTTGTTATTACTTTGTTTCTTGCTTCTTTTTTATGTAATTTCTGCTTTTTTTTGTAATTATTATTTTTTTTTGTGCGCTTAAGGGGACCCTGTCCCGGAGCGCTTTAATAAATTACGCTTTCTCTCTTTCTCTCTCTCTCTCCGCGCTGAAAAGAAATAACAGAATAGCCGCTAAGCGGCCAGCACGGCACAAAATGATGTTACTGAAACGCAATTGCACCACCTAAGATACGCTGAAAATAATAGGAACAAAATTTACTTTGTGTGTGTGTGTGTGTGTGTGTGTGTGTGTGTGTGTGTGTGTGTGTGTGTACATTTCAATATATCAAATATTTGCATATATAACATAGGCGCTATGCGCCTTCACAAAATTAGGTGTATTCGCTTGCGTTACGCGGCCTAACGAGTTGCTCTCCTTAAATAATGGAAGAGACGAGCTCATTGCCTCCTGTGCCGGCCGGAACTATGTTCTTGTGACAGACACGAAAAGTGTCACGTCACAATATATATATATATACACACACTTTTAAACAGAATTACAAGTTAAATATTCAGAAAAACAGAGCACTCTCGGACGTCAATGATTTTGATATACAGTGCTGGACAAAAATATAAGACACTTTGCATATTTCTATGCAACATATATTTGAAAAAAGAAACATTAATTTTTTGTACACTCTATATATTATATACCGTCTCTCGAATGTGTATACAAAGTTTTAAGTTTGTAGAAAACATAACGCCGGAGTTACAAGAAAAATGTAAACATAAATAGATTTTGGTTGGACAAAAATATAAGACACTTGATTTGTCTACCATTCTTACGTTTCATTTTAGTAGCTATTCGACTGCGAGAGGACGCAGAAGTGAATTAGTACTTATTTGAATACATTTGTTTAGAGAAAAATAGTAATGCCTCGCGGTAAAGAACTAGACAAGAGTGAGATTGATCGGACACTGTTGTTGTAGTCAGAAAATTATAGTATCAGTAAAGTAGCTAAATTAATCAACAGAAGTCGCTGTGTGTACAATGCACTAAAAAATTTAAAGAACAACAAAAAATCTAAAAAAACTGGAAGACCACGTGTCATAACAGAACGTGATAAGCATGCTATTTTACGAGTTGCGTCAAATTTCAAAAAAACGGCAAGACAAATTGCCGAAGAAGCTGGCGTCCATACAAATTTAAGAAATGTTCGTTGTGTTCTATAAAAGAGCAAGAACATTAAACACAAAAAATTGAAGCAACGGCCTTGTTTAACTGATGTTCATAAAGCAGCGCGGTTTATAAACCATCGGGTCCGTCTAAATTTAATTTAGATGGACCCGATGGTTGGGACTTTTATTTCCATGATTTAAAAAAAGAAGAACTAAATTTGAGGCGTTTGCGTCTCGTTGATTGGCTACCGCATTGTGCGTAAAGGCCATTCTGCATAAAATGCAAGCACGACTCGCAGGTCGCAGATCTCGCGGAATTGACCATTCACGTTTGTCACATTAACTAATCGACTAACGTAATTGGTCAACTCATCAAGATCTGCTACAGTTAGTTAGTAAGGCGCCCGTTGGCAGTACTTACTGCTAGGGAATACCCTCTTTCTCTTACTCCTAGTTCTCCGCGTCCACAAAACAATTCAGTGACAGCGACTGTACAGTCGGCGTCAATCAACACTCTGCGTGCGCCGTCCTGCTTTTACTGCATACGTCACGTCTGACGTTTTCGCTATTATTACGTAAGGTCCTATCCACTTTGATTCCAACTTCTTGGATCTGCCTCTTCTTAGTGTCTCGTCATAAAGTAGGACTTTTTCTCCTANGCTAAACGCTGCTTGCTTTGTCTTTTTATCGTAGTAACGCTTCGCTTTTTCCTTTTCTTTCTTGAGTTTTTTTCGCGCTACTCGATTTGTTGCCCGCAAATTCTCTTTTAATTCTTGCGCGTAGTTTTCTAAATTATACTGCGTTGACGGTGGTTTAGCTAGAGCAGTCGGTAATTCCGCGCATCTCTCGTACACCAATTCAAAAGGTGTGAACCCCGTTGCCGTGTGTGGTGTCGTATTGTACGCGAACATTGCGTACGGCACCCACTCGTCCCAATCCGTCTGGTTCTCGTTCACGTAGTGACGTATATACTCGGCCAGCGTCCTATGCGACCGCTCCAACGCTCCGTTACTCTCCGGATGATAGGCCGTTGTTTGTATCTTATTTATCCGCAATAGCTTGCAAACACTTTTAAATAGTTCGCTTACAAAGTTTGATCCTCGATCCGTTAAAATCGTTTCCGGAATCCCGTGCTCGCACACAATTTTTGTCGCGAACTCTCTTGCTATCGTAGCGGCTTCCTGATTTGGAACGGGTATCGCCTTACTAAACTTCGTGAAACTGTCTTGAAACGTCAGCAGATATTTGTTTCCGCTACTTGTCACCGGTAATGGTCCGACAATGTCAAGCGAGCACTTTTCGAAAGGCTTCTTCGGTGTATTTGTAATTACCAGCGGTACTTTCATTTTTTGTGACAACTTATTTTTTTGACACGACTCACATTTCGAAATATGATTTTTTACATCGCTTGTTAATCCGGGCCAGTCATATTTCATCTTTATTCTTTTTATTGTACGCGCTATTCCCTGATGCGCGCCCACTAGTGAGTCATGATACTCGTACAGTATCTGTCTCTTTTCTTCTTCGGTGAGCTCTGGCTTCTCACTCTTATCTTCCTCTGCCTTTTTGCTTTACACGTACATGCCTCCGCGGGAAATTTACTCAGCGCGTCCGCGTTAGTATTTGCCTTCCCTTTTTTATGCACGATCTCATAATCATACTCTTCTAGCTTTAATCGCCATTGCACGAGCCGCAATCCGGTATCTTTCACATTAAATAGCCATACTAACGCCTTATGATCGGTGACGATCCTAAATTTTGTTCCGTACAGATAAGGTCTAAAGTGTTTTACTGCCCATACTACTGCGAGCAGCTTTTTTTCTGTTGTGCTGTAATTCCGTTCCGCTTTATTCAACACGGCTCGCGTATGCAATCGGCCGGTCCTGACCTACCGCACCTTGTGATAGCACCGCGCCGACCGCGTAACCCGACGCGTCGGTCGTGACAACGAACTTTTTGTCGAAGTCCGGATAAGCAAGCAACGGTGCGCTAATCAATTTCTCTTTTAAACTTACAAACGCTTGTTGTTGCTCGGGACCCCACTCAAACGCTGCTTCTTTTTGCAACAACTGTGTCAACGGTTTCGCTATTTTTGAAAACTAGCCGATGAACTTTCTGTAATACCCCGCCAGACCTATGAATGCCTGGATATCTTTTACTTTCTTTGGAACCGGAAATGCTTTAACCGCTTCCAGTTTTGACGGATCCGGTGATATGCCATTGTCGGTAATCACATGTCCCAGATATGTGACCCCCCCGCGGAAAAACTCGCACTTGTCCGGTTGCAGTTTTAGATTATACTTTTGCAGTCTCTCGAATACTTTCTGTAAACGCCTGCTATGTTCTTGTAGACTCGCGCCGTGTATCACTATATCTTCAAGATACACTTTCTCCCTCGCAATAGTATCAGAATCGAATTTATTACCCTCTAGACTGTTGCCGGCGCATTCTTTAGTCCAAACGGCATCCTATTATATTCAAAATGCCCATGCGGCGTTGAAAACGCCGTTTTATCTCTGTCTTCTTCGTCCATTGGTATCTTATGATACCCGGACGCCAAATCTAACGTTGAGAAATATTTCGCATTCCCAAGTTGATCCAGTATTTCCGCAATATTTGGCAGTGGAAAAGAATTGCCTATTGTCGCCTCATTTAGTCGACGAAAATCTACGACTATTCTTAATTTTCTTATGCCGGACGCATCTATCTTTTACGGCACGACCAGTAGTGGTGCGTTCCACTGGCTCTTACTGTCGCGTATTATTCCGTTGTCCAGCTTCTCCTTTATTTGTCGTCCCACCTTTTGCTTATGTTTATGTGGCAATCTATACGGCTTTACATTTATCAGTACAGTATCGGTTTTTACCGCTATTCGGTGTTTTACCGCGCTTGTTTTAGTGAGTGGCTCCCCTGCGAGATGAAATATATCTTGATACTTTTCGCATATTTCATGCAAAACTTGTTTTTTCTCTTCATTCAGATGCTTTACCCGCAGTGTCTTTTTCACTCTTTCGCGTCGCGCTAACTTCTCCGTCTTTATGCTTACGTTCGTTATTTCACTTTCTGTCTCGCTCTCTTCTTCCAATGCTTCAAGCTTAACACATAGTGTGTTCATTTTCACCGTTTTTTCCGTGGTATTTACCACGCTTAATGGACAGAAATTTTTTCTTGGCTGTACTAAACAGCTTCCTATAAATACTCCTGGTTGCGTTTCTCCTGCCTGCACGATGTCGATTTGGTTACTATCGGTTATTGCTTGTACGATAGTTTTGCTTCTGGGTTGTAGTTCTATAATCTTATATGGACGCAGCTTTAACGTATTTCTTCCTAGCGAGAGTTTCCCTGCTTTATAATCGTGCTTGGTATTATATTTTTTAATGAAGTTCTTTCCTAGAATGCCCTGATAGTTAATTGGAAAGTCGTCTCTCACGACATAAATCGGATGCTTGATTTCCCTATCTTTTAGTTCTGTTGTCGCCATGACCTTCCCTATTACGCATGCTTGATGTCCTTTGACACCTGTCAGCTTCATTTCTGTTTTTTCGGCTGGCGTCTTTCCTTTGAAATACTTTTTTTTAATCAACTACACTGTGGCTCCGATGTCGTATAGCAATTCCGCTTTGCCTTTCCTTGTCTCTTTTATTGGCACGGTGACTATGTCCAGAATTGCTTGCGTAGCGTTTAACTCGGCTACTTGCAGCTCTGCCACACGGATTTTTTC